ACCAGGGTAAACGCTGGGGGAATGGCACCCCATGATCAGCTCAGCTGACCTGGGGTCATGCATTGTGTCACTTTCTCTTTTATCATTTTGGTGATGTTTCAGTGGTTTATTGAGGGCTCATAAATATAAAGAAGAAAAACGTCATTAAAATAAACATTTTACAGATGAGAAAGAACACCCGTCTTACTGTAGGAAAGTAAACGCTGGGTTCTCTCAGAGTCTCAGGTTCTGCAGCTGAGCTAGCCGGTGGAACAGGACAGGGAGCCGTTACGCAGAGTCCTGAGGACAAAGGCCTAAGGCCATCGGGCTCTGCTAGAAACCGTGGAGACCTGGGCCCAGGTAACGCTTTGGACCAAAGGGGCAATGTGGGGAGGAGGATGGAGACAAAAACGTGCACTTTTCTCAAGCGTCTGGCTGATCCTGCTCTCCCCGCGGCTCCTACAAATTGCATTACCTTCCTGCAGCTCGTTATCCCGGGACCCAGACTCTCCTGAAAGGAGCGGGGAAGGGTTCCTCTGGGATTGATCCCCTGACTTCCTGTACCCTTAGTGAGGATGGGACCCCAATCCAATGAGATGACTTGATGCCTGCTGTCCCAGGTTTTTGGACTTCACAAGTGCGCAGTCTCTTCTAACCTGAGGATGCTCGGGGCGAAAGCATCTGAGAGGGAGTGGGGGTCCATGTGGAAGTGGAGGGGCAGTAGAAGAGCTGGGATGGAACTTGGAGACTGAGTGTAACCTGCAGGAAACCAGAAGAGATGATTGAGAGATTGGTCTCAGATTACTGCAGCACACCCTGGTGGCCTAATAGATAGGGCATTGGCCTCCTAAGCCAGGGATTGTGGGTTCAAGTCCCATCTTGGGTACAAAGGATTGAGTTTTAAACCCCTCGATCCAAAAAGTTATCCAGATGCATCCCTTAGATTTCAGGGGGAAATACTGGCATCCTTTATACTATTTTTAAAACAATCCATTCTACCTGATGATAAAGGAATAATTGTTTCTTTTTCTAGGTGTGTTAATTGTATTATGGTTACATATGTATTTTTTTCCAGTTTTTTTATTTCAAGAAAAATTATTTTAAATATAATAATGTTATATGCAATAAACACCAATTATTCAAGGAAAATGACCTTACATATAATAATATTACATGCAATAAATATTAATATTTCAAGACTAAAAGGATTTTAAGTATAATAATATTACCAAAACTTTACTAACATATTATGATCACAAAAGTTCTAGGAAATATTAAAAATCTGCAAATAACAGGATTACTTCTATTATATTCTAGAATATTTTCCCCCCTCTGGCTCTATTTTTGTTCATCAGTTTATGTTGTTCATTATAT